GAGGCAGGTGCCAAGGCATTTGGGCACCTCCGTGCTCCCCTTCCCTTCCTCTGCCAGGGAAGCCGGCGCCTCTTTGCTGCCTGCTCCGCTCCGGGCAAAGCTGCTGGATGCCTCTGGGACAAAGTTCAGAGACGCCGCTATAAATAGCCCTTGTTCCTCCGCAGTTATTTTTAGCTCCCCGAGAGCTATAATTGCCTTCTGCTACTGCCGCTTGCCCAGGGTGGGGCCAGGAACGGCAGCCGGCGGCCTGCTGCATCCAGCCAGGGGAAGACTGCAGGCAGGGTGTGGAGGGCACCGCCACACCCTGCAGTTGGCCGCAGAGGCTGCAAGAGTGCCGGAGACCAGTGCCCAGGATTGGGCTCCTCCGGGGCTCTTTGGAGGTTGGGGGGCTATGCGCTCCCTCTGTCCTTGCTGCCCCTGGCCAGAGACCCTCCCCAGAATGAGAGCCAGCCTGGGAGGGGAGGAAACGAGGCGGCATCGGGTGGTCGTTCTGCCCCCCACCCCGGCTTTGGAGAGGAAGCCTTGGGCCTGTGGATGCCCCAGGGAACCCCCCGTGACCAGCGCCAAACTGCCCTGAGCTCTCTCTCTGTGTGTGTGTGTTTGTGTGTGTGTGTGTGTGTGTGTGTGTGTATGAGGGCTTTCCTCCTCTTCCCCCTCCCCCAGATGGCAACCAGGTGGATGCCACCCTACCCCCAAGCGCTCTATTTCTGCGGGGTAGCCCCCAGGGCAGACCAATGCCATCCTGGGGGGCTCTCCCTCCCCGGTTGAATTCAAAATGGCTGTGTGCCCATCCCAGCCCCCCCCCCCCCCCGAAGCACCTGGCGGCCCTTCCTCGGAGCCCCCCCCCCCCCACCGATCCTTCTTGGCATCGCAGAGGCAGAATCCTCCCCTGGAAGAGGCTGGGCCCCCAAGGGCCCCCTCAGAAGAAGAGATTGCAGAGCGGGGCCTGAGGAGAGAGCTGCCTTCCCAAGCCCAGAAAAAAAAACAAGAGTTTCCAGCAAAAGGGAGGCTTTATTCTTTGTGTCCCCCATTCACCGTTTAAAAACTGGACCCCAAAGGGGGGGGGGAAAAGAGGGCAGGGGGCGGGGGGGGGGGGGGGGGGGGGGGGGGAAGGAAGGAACCGGTGACCAAAAGGCAGAAGTCAGCAAGAAAAGATGACCAGGCACAGCCTCCCCCCCCCCTTATGAACCTCCCCCCCTTTTTTGGCAACAGGAAGAGAGTTTGGCAAATAAGAACAAGGTTCGGCACTCTGTTTTTTGACAAACTGAATCAATCCGTTTGTCACTTTGGTGAATTAAAAAACAAACCAATTGAAAGAGTTTGACACAGGGAGGGGTGTGCCCCCCCCCCTCTAAAAGGTCTGGATTCCCAGAGAGTAGAGGTGAGGAGGGTGGCCCTGGGTTCAAGGGCGGATGCGGAGGGGCTGCTTATCCAGGGAAGAGGCAGAGCTGAAAGCAGGGAAGACCCAGCCAAGCGACTGAGGAAGCCAAGGCAAAGGGGGGGGGGGGGCGGGGGGGGGCCCCCGGGGGGGGTTTTCCGGGGGGGGGGGGGGCGTCCAGTGCTGGATTTAGCCATAAACAAGTTTAGGGCCTCACAAAATTTCAGAATTTTGTTGTTTGCTCTCTTTTAGAGTTTTTGTGTGGCTTTCTGTGTGTGCTGTACTTTTGAAAATCTTGTGTAGCAATTTTTTATGCATAATTTTACAAAGACTTTAAGGCTAAACGTTCTCAGATTTACGGGGAAGAGACCACCGGAGACCAGAGGCTCGGCCTCCTTTTGCAACGTCCCCGGGGGCTGCTTTGGCACACGCTCTGGGGGGGCATCGGGAGAGCAAGGGGGCCGCTGGGAGCTGACGGAGGCCCTGCTGGCTGGGGGTCCCTGGAGATGCCCCACTGGCCACTTCTGGGCAAGGGGAAAAGAGCCCCAATCGGCTGGCCGCCCTCCAGCTTCCCTGGCTTTGCACTGGGAGAGGCGGGGGGGCTGCCAATCCCATTCTCCCCTCAGACCCCCCCCCATATCAGCTCCTCCAGGCTCAAAATCAAGGCCTCACTCGGCCCAGCCTGGAGAAGAGCCCCTCCCCAGTCCTTGGAGGGAGGAGCTCCCTCGGAACAGCAGGTTCTCCACCAAAGAAGCCGGCACAGTCCCCCCCCCCCCCCCCCCCCCCCCCCCCTCCCCCCCCCCCCCCCCCGCCCGCCCCCGGGGGGGGGGGGGGGGGGAAACTCTGCCCTTTGGGCCACGGGCTCCTCACTCAGAGGGAGAGCAACCAGCCAGGGAAAGCCCTCCCCCCCGCCTTGGCCCTTGGGAGTGGGGGGGGGGCATCCGTGCCCCTCGGGGGACCCCCCCTTTCTTGAGCCCAGGGGCCTCCTGGCCCTCCACGGAAGACCCCCCCCCCCCGGCCTCTGCCTGCCAACGGCCGGGGGGGGCCGGGGGGGGGGGGGGGGGGGGCGCCTTGGGGAGGGAAGCTGGGAGGAAACTCAGCGTGACAGTTGGGGAGGCGGTGGGCGTGAGGGAGGAAGAGACGAAATGGGCCCCTCTCCTTGGGAAGCCCCCTCCTCAACCGTCCCGGAAGGGCAGTCGGGGGGGGGCATCCAGACCGGCTCCCTGGGGGGTCCCCTCCCAGGACGGCCCTCAAGCCCGGCCTGGTGCCCTCCCTGCCCCCCCCCCACCTGGAATCCGGTCATCTGCCTGTGGGACAAGTGGGCAACGAGGGCTGCTCCCCCCTCCTTGGCCTGGCTGGAGATCGGGGGGGGGGGGGTGGGGGGGGGCGCCCAGCTATAGGAGGGTGCAGGGCTTCTTGTCCTTGAAGGGGTTCTCCGAGGTGGGGAGGCCAACCAGCAGGGGGTCGTTCCTGGCCTGCTGCTCGCAGTAGTTCATCAGCTCCAGGCAGGCTTTGGAGACCTTTGGAGGGAAAAGCAGCCCCGTCAGCCCCCCACTGGCCCTTGGGAGGCCTTGGGGTCCAAAGGGAGGGGCCGCGAGGCGGCACTGCAGGGCTCGGGCATGGGGGGGGGCCGCTCCTTGGGGGGATCCAAATGTCAGCTGAACACTCCCCCCCCCGCCCCGCCCCCCCCCCCAAGGCAGAAGCCACCAGGATCAAGGCTCCCCCTAATTCTCAGTTCCAACCTTCAGCCGGGTCCCCCAACACCCCGCTCCCCATTCTGGAAGGGGGACCTGATGTTCTGACTGGGGGGGGAGCGACCCTCCTCTCTTGCACAGCTGTCCCCCGTTTCCTTCCTGGCTCCCCTCCCTCCTGCCCTCAAAGAGAAGTGGGCCAGGACCGGACTGCCCCCCCCCCGGGGGGACACACAGCCCCCAGAACTAAGTGCAGCTGCACTGAACCTCTTCCAGGAACCAGGATGGGGGTGAGAGAACCCTCCCTGGTGACCCCCTTCTCAGCACCTCAGGGCCTCTGATCATGCGCAGAGTCATTCTTGGGCCAAGGAGCGGCCGAGGCCTGCAGGCCTGTGTGCTCAAAGGGTCTCTCTCTCTCTCCCTCTCCCCTCACCTTCCCTGCCTCCGCCTGGGGGCCAGAGACCCTCGCCCACTGCAGGGGCCTTGGTGCTCGCTCTTGCAGACTCCCCGTTGCCAGGCTGCCCAGAGCCTGACCGGGAACCCCCAGCTCGACCTTGAGCCAGAGGGGGTCTTCTGCCTGTCCCCCTCCCCAATTCCCAGGGCACCTGACGCCTCCCCTCCCCCACCCGAGTGCGGCCTCCCCAGAGCCTACCTTGATCCTCTCCATTCCGGCCTCGATCCGCAGCTGCTCCACCAGCTTCCTGGCCTGCGCGATGTTGTTAGTGGCCGACATCGTCTGCCATCGAGGGGGGAGGGGCGTCCACCAGCACCTGGAGGCCTGGAAACACCAGAGAAGGAGACGCTTGGCTCCCGGCCCCGCTCTGCCCCTCTCCGAGGGTGGCACCGGACAGAGTTGCCCCCTCCTCTCTTTGGAGACAGCCCCCCCCCCTGCAAAGCACTGCCAAGCTCGGGGTGGCAGCGATCGAAGGTGCCCAGAGGAGTGGGGCGTGTGACCTGGCTGTGTAACTGGGGGATCAAAGGCCCCAAGACCCCAGAGCAGCTTTCCAGGAGCTGAGGCGCCTGGGCCCACAATCCCACCCCCCACCCCCTTCTCTGGGGTTGCAGCCCAGGATGGTATCGCTCTTTCTGCAGCTGCATGAGGGCCACAGATCTTCACCAGGCGAAGACGAGGAACCTCCGCAGGCAGAGGCAGTCTACCTCAAGAACCAACCGGTGATTGGGACATTTTGGGACGGAAGGTTTTCCGAGGCATCTGGCTGGGCCTTCCCCGCAAAGAGACGCTGCGATTGTCTGCAGGATCAGACTCCGCGGGGGGGGGGGGGGGGAAACGGGTCCCCGGCCGGAAACGCCCCGGGGGGGCGGCTCCGGGGGGGGGGCCCGCTGGGCCTCAAAGTTGAAAAGAAACAAGGAAGCGGCGCCCCAAGGCTCTCCGGCTCCCCCGGGGTTCCCTCCCCGGCTGACACCCACTTGCTCCTGGGGCGGCCCGCACGAGGGTCTTCCGTCCCTCCTGGGCGGGGCTGCGAGACGAGAAAGGGGGATTCCAAGGCGAGGCAGGGAAAACCCTGGGGGAGAAGGGCCCAGAGAGGAAGCCCGACGGGGGAGAAGGGCAGAGAATGGGACCCGCTGGGAAGCCCCCCCCCAAAGGCGCAGGGCTCGAGGGTCCCCCCGCCACGGGCCTGGGTCCCACCGCAGGCGCGTCCCTGCCTGCGCCACTGCCGGGGGGCGTCGCTCGGCTGCTTGCTTCCTTGCAAGTACCTGGCCCGAAAGCCTCGCCCGTTGGAGGGCAGGGAGGCCGGACGCTTATTAGCGGCTCCCGGGCCACCACCTGCAGCTTTCCGGCCGGCCAATCGCCCACTGGCCGGCAGGGGATCCGCGGCCGCCTTCCTCCTCCTCCTCCTCCTCCCGCATAAAGCGGGTCCAGGTGCGGCCCCTCCCGCGGAGAGCGTCGGCTGACCGGGACGGCGCCGGAGATGGCGGGTAAGAGGCTGCTGGCCGAGCGGGGGGCGCCCTCCCCGCCCGGCCCCATGGGAGCTGGAGTCCGCTCCCCGTCTCCCTCCAGCAGGCTCTCTTTCTCGGCCTCCGCAGAGGCCTCGGGGGCAGCCCGCTTCTCCAAGGGCCGCTACCCGCCTACGCTGACCATGGTCACCGAGGCCGTCGGGGCGCTGAACGAGAAGAAGGGCTCTTCCACCGCCGCCATCAAGCGCTACATCCGCCACAACTACCCCGGCGTGGACCCCATCCGGCTCAAGTACTACCTGCGCAAGGCGCTGCTGAAGGGGCTGGAGAAGGGCTACCTGGTGAGGCCCCTCAACTCCTCCGCCCAGGGCGCCACCGGCAGGTTCAAGGTGAGGGAGCCGCCCGCCCCGGACCCGACTTCTGGCCGAAGGGCCGCACTCAAAGCAGGAAGGCTTCGCGGAAGGAGCCGGGCGCCTGCAGGGTACCCTCCCCTTGTTCAGCCTTGTGCCAGGCAGCCGCCCCCTGAAGCCCACGGGAGGAGTTGGGGACAGGCTTATTGCTCTCTGGGGTGCCTGATGGCCGCAGCCCCCTGGACCCAAGGGGTTTTTCTGCCCCACGTGGCTCCCCGCCCTTCCCAGCACTCCTCCTCTTTGCCTGGGTGCCCTCCCCCCACTTGGCTTCCTGGGGGGACCCCGGAGGGAGCCTCCTGCTGCCCTTCCTGCTTGGCTAATGAGCAGTGGGAAATGCCAGCCTTGCCAGGCCCGCCCGTGTGCTACTGCCGAGGGCATTTCGGGTCCTGCCTTGGGCCTGGCAGAGTCTGGCCTGCGAAGCCTTTGGAGGAGTGGGGGGGGGGGCAGGGGTGTGCCTGAGTGTCCCCTTGGCATTCTCCCCCTTGCCCTGATTTTGCAGTTGGCAGCCATAAAACCCAAGAAGGGAAAGGCGAAGAGGGCCCAGCCTGCCCAGGGGGAAGGCCCACCCCCCAAAGTGGAGAAGAAGGTGGAGGGCAAGGCGAGGGCTGAAAACCCCAAAGGCAAAGGGAAGGGTAAGGACCCCCCCCCCTTTTCATGCACCAGCCACCCGGGGGGGCTGGGGAGGACGGAGGTCCCATGGCATCCCTGCCAGAAGCTGCATGGGGGGGGGGGTTGGTAAGGGGGCCGCCGAGGGGCTCCTGGGCGGGCTCTTCGCCCTGTGGGGGCCCAGCTGCAGCTTCTGCCTTGATGGAGGTCAGCTCAGGGGAGAAGGCGCTCATCCTGGTTCTCTGCCCCCCTCCCCAGCAGACGCCAAGGGCAAGGAGAAAGCCGCCAGCAAGGAAGCCAAGATGGAGCCTGACTCGGTAGGGGAGCTCGGCCCTTCCCTCGTGGCCCAAGTCCTTGGGCGGGCGGGCAGGCAGCCTGCCGCTGGGCAGGAGAGAGTGAGTCCCCCAAAGTCCAGGGGTGGCAGCCCCCTCCCAGTGGCCCCTTCTGGGGCTCTGCCCCCTGCCGAAGCCCACACAGCATGGGCTGAGTCAGGGCAGCGTCTCCCTTGCCCATCCCAAAGGCCCCATGGGGCCAAGGTGGGGCCCACTGGGGGTCTGTATCTGCCCCCAGAGAGCTGAGCTGGGCTGATTCGGGGCTGCCCACCCCCACCCCCCAGACTCATATAAGGCCAAGCGTGTCCGTCTTCCTGCAGGTCCTGGCTGCAGGCTCCACGAAGCCGAAGCCGAAGGAGAAGACGGCAGCCGAAGGAAAGGCTCCCAAGAAGCCAAGGGTCCCCAAGACCCTCCAAGGGAAACTGGCAAAACCCCCTGCCAAGGTGCCCCCCAAGGGAGAAGCCAAGGCAGCCGCCAAGGGCAAAGCTCGGCCCAAGGCAGGAGGCAAGGCTGAGCCCCCCTCGGGTGAGCCAGTCACGGCGGCAAAGGGGAGCCAAGCCAAGAGCCAGGCCGGGCCCTCCAAGGCCGGGCCCCCCAAGACCAGCGCTCCCAAGGCGGGAAAGAGGGCAGCGGCCAAAGGCAAAGAGAAGGAAGCCGAGGGGGCGGCAGGCCCAGAGGACGCCTGAGGGGCCCACAGGGGCCGTTGTCCCCAGCTCTCGGCTGGCAGTGCCTGTCTTGGAAGGAAGCTGGTGGGACCCCCGGGCGGAAGGCTGCGTGGGTTTCAACAGCATTTTAAGCAGCCGGAGATGTTGTTAAATAAAGGTGTCACATTTGGCAAGATGGCAAACCCCCCTGGGCTGCTCCTGATTCTAAAAAGCTAGGCTGGAGGAGATTCAGCCTTCCCTGCTCCTGACTGGAGGAAGAAGGACCGCCCCCCCAGCTTAGCAGGTAACCTTGCACCTGCTCCGCCACAGGTGGGTCATGCGCACCAGTCACTTCCACCTGAGTCTTTCAATGCGCAGCTCCACCCAGGCATTTTTGAGCAATACTTTAGCTTGCAGGCTACATTGTCCTAAATTATACTTTAGCGCAGTGGTTCCCAAACTTTTTCAGTCCACCCCCCCCTTGGTGCTACAAACTTATCCCTGATGCCCCCCAACCAGGGGCGGGATTCAAATTTCTGTGGGTGTGGCCTAATTTGAGGGTGTGGTTTGCTGGTCACGTGACTGGGTGAACATGGTTTGGTGACTGGCAAACCAAATACGAGTGGTCCTCACTTAATGACCGGTTGCTTAGCAAGTGTTCTAATTTATGACTGGCCTCCCCAGAACTACTTGACCTGTTTTTGGAGTTTTGATAGCCACGCACACATTCCCTTCCAACCCTGCTGGAGCAGGTCCTTGGACTAGAATCAGCAAAGCATCTCTGATTACATTCTAGTAGTGAATAAAATCTAATCAAAGATGCTTTGACGATTCTTGTTGATTTGTTTTATTTTTATTTATTTTATGTTGCTGAATTGCATTGACATGTGTGTCCCTTCTTGTGCACAATCCAGAAGCTTTTGTGATTCTTTGCCCGCAAAAGTTACCGAATGTGCCGGCACTGCCGCGTTCTAGGTGCCAGCCCCACAGGTCCACCCCCCATTGAGTCCGCTGCACTGGAGGGACCTGCCCCAGCACGTCAAGTCAATGGGGTGAGCCTGAGAGAGGGAGGGAGGGAGAGAGAAACAGGATCCATTGGACCAGATCTCCACCCTAAAAAATGACTCTTCCCCAATGTAATTACAGTGCCAATTCTGAAGAAGGCAAAACCTAAATGTATTGGTAAATTACAAGGAGAACATACACACACACACTCCCTGCTGGAGTAGGTGATTGGACTAGAATAGATATCTCATTATCTTTCTCCTCCCTTCCTCCTTTATTTCTTTTTCTTTCTGTCCCTTCCTTCCACCCCCCCCCCTTTCTTTGGTCCCTTCTTTCTTTCCCTTTTCTCTTTCTCTTCTTCCTTCTCTCTGTCTCTCTCTTTCCCTCTCTCAGGCTCACCCCATTGACTTCGTGCACCGCTCCATTCGGACTTGCTTGGGCAGCTGCCTCCGGTGCGTTCGGGGCTCCATGGGGTGGAAGGCGTGGTGGCGGTGGGATGTTTGCAAAGGAGCCACTCTGGCTTTGCTCTCCTATTCCCAAGGCTGCTCCTTACACCAGAGCGGGCAAGTCAATGGGATGATCCTGCAGGGCCTTGCCTCAAACCGTGGCGGTGGTGGGACTTTTTTTTCCCCACCCCTGAATTGTGCCCTGCCGCTCACCTCCGGCGCCCCCCCCCCCCCCCCCCCCCGGCCCCCCCCAAGGGCCCCCCCCCCCTCCCAGGGGGCAGTACCGCCCACTCTGGGTACCACGGCTTTAGCATAACTTTTTCACTAATAGGATTCTTGAATATAACTTAGTCCCAAGAACATTCTTGAAAATGTTGAGTCCTGAGAGCATCCAGTTTTGGCCACCACAATATGAAAAAGATGTTGGGACTTTGGAAAGAGTGCAGAGAAGAGCCGGACTGGAGGAACTGGGCACTTTGGCTAGTCTGGGGAAAAGGATTAGGGGAAACACCATGGCAGCCTTGCAGTAGGGGGGGGGGGGGGGGGGGGGGGGCTGCCACAAAGAAGAGGAGGGTCAAAGCACCCGAAAGCAGGACAAAAAGCAAAGGAAGGAAGGATTTCCTAACAGAACAATCAACCCGTGGAACCGCTTGACTCCAGAAGTCGGTGCTCCATCCCTGGCGGTTTTTAAGAAGAGACTGGACAGTCACCTGCCCAGAATAGTGCACAGGCTCTCCTGCTTGTGCAGGGGTTGGACTAGAACACACACCCACACCGCACAAGGCCCCTTCCAACTCTTATGAGCCATAGATTCAAGCTCACATTTTGCTTCAGAAAGTGTATATCTAGTCTTCAGTGTTGCAAAATAAAACCACCCAAAGGTTTCCACAAAGGGCTTGCAACTGAACGGCAGTGCTGCCCAGATTCAGGGGATAGGCAGCTTTTGGGAACCCCAGCTGGAGAAGGGGGGGGCACCCTTTGCACTGCAGCCTTGCGGCTGGATGGATCTCTTGGCTTCGTCCAGAGTCATGCTGAGCAGAGATCTGGGGCTGCCTGTGAAGCAGTCTAGCCCCACAGAAGGCACCCACCTCCCAACTCCCCTGCTGAGTGGGTAGGAGGTGCCTGGAATTATTGGCAGCTGGGAAAGGTAGCGCCAGCACCCGGTTGGCTTGCAATGGGAGAAAGGCTGGAATTCCCAGGAGGGCTGGAAAAAAATTGGAAAGGAGCTTGGAACAAAACAACTCTGTGTGTGAGAGAGAGCGAGAGAGCTGGCAGTCCTGAATTACTTCAAGTGATCTATGTCTCCCTCAGACCAAAGGTACGAAGACCGCCAACTCCACCACGGGGGGGGGGGGTGTCTCTCCTCCCAGCTGCCCATCGCCTTGCTTGCTCTCCTCTGCCCACCCACCCACCGCAGTTTGCCAGGGTCCTTCCTACCACACCATGCTCTGAACGGAGCAAGCTACCCACCCCGGGCCCAATGAAGCCTAGAGGGGACCAAGACCCGGGGTATCTGTCCAGGGTGGCCCTGGCTCAGGGTCAGCGTGGGATTCACCCAGACTCCCCCCTCCGCCCCTTGTTCTGGCTTGCGCAGCTCCTCCCGAGCCTTCAGGCAGGTGGTCGCTGCCCCTCCGTCTTTGCCTTGGCGGCAGATCTGGCCCTCCTCCGGGCTGGCTGGCCCAACAGAGGCCGCAAATGGAAGCGCCGCTCCCGGGAGCTCCTTGCCAAAGGCCGAGCGTTTCCTCCGGTCCCTCGCCCTGGAGCCCGAGGGGTTCAGCCGCGGGGGACGAGACGGCCGGGCTCCGGACTCCCTCCCGAGCCCTTCTGGGAAATGCCGCCACAGCCACCGGCGCTGCTTCCTCACAACCCGGCCGACGCCAGCGAGCGGTTCAAGCGGCTGCACGCAGCGGGCTGCCTTCCAACCTGGCCCCCGGGCACGTGCGCAGACGGGGAGAGACGCAGCGCCGGCAGCTGCTCCCACGGCCGCAGACGCGCGCGGGCCCCGATGCCCCCCCCCCCCGCCCCTCCCCCCGCGCCCACGCCGCCCCCCCCCCCCCCCCCCCCCCCCCCCCCCCGCCCCGGGCACGGGGGCGCCCCCCCCCCCGAACCCTCCCACTCCCGGGGCCGGTCGGGTGGTCTGCCCTGCGGCAGACTGAGGCGTCCAGGCGCTGCTGCTGCTGCCTTCCCGGCTCCTTTCTTAATCGCCCTCGGCGCCTGCTGGAAGAGACCCTGCTCCGGCCTCTCCAAGGCTGCCCCTCGACGCTGGCTGATCATCTCCACTCGCGGGGAGGGCCCTTGAGCCAGGAGCCCCCGCTCCCCCCCCCGCCTGCTGCCCACTGCTTTCTTGGCAGACCTGCCGCTGGTGTCTCAGGTGCAGTGCCAGCCAAGTGCCAGGGTGGGGGGGGAGAGAGGGCTGGGTGATGCAAGCTTCCCGTGAAGCCCCTGTGGTCAGGACAGGCCTCAGCTGAGGGTGGGAAAGCCCCTTTCTGCCCTGGTGTGCCCCCTTCCCAATCCATTGCCTGACCTCCTTAGCAGCAGAACCCAGGCACTCTGGAGGCCGCCCTCAGACAAGGGGGAAGGACGGAGGCCTCTTGTGGGGGGTGGCAAGGTGCAAATGTGTGGTGGGAGAGGATTCTGCACATGGCCTGAGGCCCCTGCCCACAGTTGCCCCGATGCCCCATGTTAGGTATAACATTGATACCAAATATGGTTTGGGTGAATAAATA